TTATAAAAATGAGCACATGGCTTTGGGCCCCGAGCTTGTGTAGCTTCCAGCTTCCTGAAATTTTGTGTCCACAAAACACAGGCTGCTTCTGGTGTATCATATCAGTTCCCAGTGATGCTTCCGCCATCTGGTCCTGCCTCTTCTTACACTGTGCCTTCTGCCAGGAGCACCCTATACCTGTTTCTGTCTGCTGAAACTTACCCATCCTGTGTGTCCTACCTTTCTTATTTGACTTCTTTTTCTTTCCTTTCTTTGTTTTGTGTAAGGCTTTCTCTGCTAATCGTTCCACTAATTTAACATGCACATTTACTTTAACAAAGTTAAAAGCCAGTCAAAATTTTGTGTTCTTGCAAATGACAGGCCTTTTTAAACTCTGATTGCTCCTTACTGATTCCTTTGTTATTATTTCCTGCTTCTTTTTTATCTTGTTTTTTCATAATCCAACAAATTAGACATTCTTACAATTATTTTATATTATTGATGCTTATTTAATTTATGTCCGTGTTCACATATTCCTTTGATCACAATTCCTATTTGAATCTTATGCTTTCCTTCCAAGATTATTTTCCTTGTCCATAATTCTAGAAGAACATCTTTTAGAATTTCCCTATGTGAGCATCAGTTAGAAATGCTCTCAAATTTTAATCTGAAAATGTATCTGAAATGTATTCAATCTACAGTTATTTTCTCTCAGCATTTTGAGATGTTATTCCACTGTCCTCTGGCTTCAATTATTGATATTAAGAGGTTAGTTGTCTGTCTACTTCATAGATCATCTTCTCTACAGGTATTAGCTGTTTTGCTACCATAGGTGTTGGTGTGTATTTCTTTTTATTTATTATTCATGGGCTGGGGAGCTTCCAGGATCTGAGGACTGTGTCTTTCATGAATTCTGAAAATTTTCCATTTAGATCTATTCGAGTCCTTGTTCCATCTTCTATATCTCTTTTGTTTCATATTTTCCATTGCTTTGTCTTTCTGTGCTGGATTTTTCGTAAATTCTTCAGATATATGTCCAGCTCATGAGTACTCTCTGGAGCTATGCTATTCTGATGTTTAATCTGTCCTTTGGATTGCTAGTCTTGAAGATCATATTTTTCCAATATAGAGGTATTATCTTATTTGTTTTTCAAATCTTCCTAGTCATTTGAAATAGTCTCATTCTGCTTTTCAGGATAAAGTGTGAGGTTGAAATGTTCCTTCTCGCAGGTTCTGTGTGGCACAGTCTGGGGAGGAACTGGGCACTGAGTGGGGCTGAAGAGGTGGCCCAAACCTACAGACCAGCCTAGCCCTGGGTCCAGCCTCAGCCTGAGCTCCATCTTGGTCCTAAGTATTCTCCAGGTTTCTGCCTCTTCTCTCTTAGTTTTGCTGGGGAAGTCCAAACCTCCAGATTTACTTCTCCCTATAAGACCATCAGTGACATGGCCAGAGACCCTGACTGTATCAGTCCAGGGGCCTGGTGGTAAGGTGGGGTCCCTGTCTATCTGAAGTGCTTAGCAACAAAGCAGAGGTGGAAAAGTAAAAAAAATATCAAAAACAACAAAAATAAAATAGTCTCTTTCCTCATTTATACCATTGATTACTAATTTTTATTTCTTTAAGCATATGAAATATCCTTATTTTTTATTATGTATACCATAATTCCAATATCCAAAGCTTTTGGAAGTTTGATTTTATTATTTATTGACATGTGTAATTCTCACTTAAAATGCCTTGTGATGGTTAATTTTATGTGTCAACTGAACTGGGCCGTATGTCCAGATATTTGGTTAAAAATTATTCTAGGTGTGTCTGTGAGGGTGTTTCTAGATAAGATTCACATTTGCATCAGTAGACTGAGTGAAGCAGGTTGCCGTCCCCCATGTAGGGGGGCCTCATCCAATCCACTGAAAGTCTGAATGGAAGAGAAGGGCCGAGTAAGAGAGTGTATCTCTCTCTGCCTTTCTTTGAGCTGGGACACTGATCTCATCCTGCCTTTGGACCTGGACTCAGACTGGGCCTTACATCATCAGCTCTGTTGGTTCTTAGGTCTGCAGACTTAGACTAGAAGTTCATCACCAGCTCTCCTAAATCTCCAGTTGCCAACTGAGATCTTGGGACTTCTTAGCCTCCAAAATCACATGAGGCAATCCTTATAATAAATCATACTCTACTCGTTCTGTTTCTCTAAAGAATCCTGACCAATATCCTTGTGTTTTGAATTTTATGTTTTTTTTTTTTTTTGCATATGTACTCCTGTTCCTCTGAACCTTTTCGATGGGGATTCTTTGAGGCCTGAGTTTAAGCTGAGTTACTCCAGAGAGGATTTTCCCATTTGTTTCTCCCAAGTACCTAAGGAGCAACTATTTACTCTCTTAAAATTCTCCTGTTGTTTTTAAATTCAGGGTTGATGTTCCTTTTTCTCCTACTCAGAGTCAAGGCTGAGCCGAACGAATTCTATACCAGCTCCCTTCCAGAGGTGTTTCTCTCCAGGGTCATCCACTGTGGGTGTTGTTCACTGTTTTGCCTTGAATAGGAGTTTCCTGATTCTGTTTTATTCTTTGCTCAAGCTCTAGGTTTTGTCCCTTTAAACTGAAGTTCTTGGCCACTTGGGATCAGCAGGTACCTCAGGTAACCTTCTGCTCTCAGCGATCTCTTTGGATTTGTGCTTTTTGTCACTTCTGAACTCCAACAATTAACCTTAATTTCCTGCCACCTCCGCTAGACTCTTCTAAAGATGCTTTATACAGTAATCCCCCAAACTCTTTTCTTCCCAGTGGCTCAACGGTAAAGCATCCACCTGCAATGCAGGTGATGCGAGTTTGATCCCTGGGTCTGGAAGATCCCCTGGAGGAGGAAATGGCAACCTACTCTAATATTCTTGCTTGGGAAACCCCATGAACAGAGAAGCCTGGCGGGATCCCAGAGGTGGATATGACTGAGCATGCATGCATGCACGCATCCCTAAACCTTTTGGCACCAGGGACCATTTTTGTAGAAGACAATTTTTCATTGATCTGGCAGAGGGAATGGTTTCGGGATAATTTGAGCACATTACATTTTTTATGCACTTTATTTCTAATCTAAGGCTGCCACTGATCTGACAGGAGGTGGCCCAGAGGCTGGGGACCCCGGCTTTATAATATTTTAATCCAGCTTTTGTGTATGTTTTTGTGTGTGTTTTGTTTCAGGAGAACTTTCCAGCACTTACCATCTCCTATATTGCTAGAGAGGGAAGCCTAACCATCTTTCCTGCCCAAACAAACATGTCTCTCAGGATGCTGCTTATCAGCAGACCGCCCACTGTGCTCATCCTATCCTGATCCGCGGTTGGTCACCTGTGTTTGTGAACTACCTGCTCTTTGAGGGCAGGGTTATGGTTTCATCTCTTCCTCCAAAAGGGGTCTCACTAAGTGTTCCTTATTGGAGCTGAAAATGGAAGTGGGAGGGGGTATCGGCTGTATGCACTACCAGAACTTTCCACAAGAGGGCAGCCTCAGCTGGTGCCAGAACTTCATCCACCTGGTGGGGTGGGCAGAGTTTACCCAGGGGGACCTGGTTCCCTGTGGCTCTACAACCTGCAAATTCGGATGTCCTCTCCCCGTTCCACGGGTAGAGAGATGAAAACAAGTGAGGATGAGGGAAGTGTCAGGCCAGGCTTCGTGAATTTGAGATGGAGTCGTATCAGGCAAGGGTCAGGAGAGAACCAGACTCCCCTGGACTTGGACTCAACTTCTTCATGGGTTCTGTTTGGATGCACGGATTAAGTGAGTGGTTCCTTCGTTGACTCAACAACATTTATTTGGCATTAGCTGTAGGTCCCCTGGGCTTCCTGGGTGACACTAGTGGTAAAGAACCTGCCTGAAAATGCAGGAGGAAATGCAGGAGACACAAGAGACGCAGGTTCAATCCCTGGTTTGAAAAGATACCCTGGAGGAGGTCATGGCACCCCACTCCAGTATTCTTGCTTGAAGAATCCCATTGACAAAGGAGCCTGGTGGGCGAAAGTCCATAGAGTCACATAGAGTCGAACACAAATGAAATGACTTAGCGTGCATGTAGACCCCCTAGGGAGCACAATGGTGAGTTAATTACACTTGGGCTTGGTCCCTGCCTCCTTTGGAGCGTTCTCTGCAGCCCAACTGGACAACTCAGCATTTCCCCAAAAACCCTGGGCGTCCCACCTCAGCCCCCGCAAAGCCCCCTGCCCCTCAGCTCCTGGCCTTCCTCAAGGCCCAGCGGCCTCCACACATGGCTGCCTGTTGAAAACCTGCTCATCCTTCTGGGTCCAGCTCCTGCGCCTGCCTCCCACAGAGGAATAAATGGGACCCAGCGGTATGGGAGGACTGGAGCCTTCTGTGCCATCTCCGGGGGTGGCTCCAGCTTGCAGAAGGAGGTGGGGGAAAACCATCTCTCAGGACTGTTCTGGTTTACGATATTCAAGCAGAGGCGGAGTCTCTCCATCTTGAAAATGCAAAGCTACACTCTCCTTCCCATTCATCATGGCACCTGAGAACAAGGGAAAGTGTGGGATTCAATTCCATGAGAGCCAGGGCTCATGGACTAGGACGGAACTGGGTCGCTCCTTCACTCTTCGCACATGTATGGATGGAGCATCTACTTACTATGTACCAGGTCTCCAGAAATAAGGCTTGCCTCGCTCTGCTCCCCTCTTCCTCAGGAGACCCTTGGGCCCCTGGGGTGTGTGTGTGTCTCACTCTGAGACTCTTAGGGTTTAGCCAGTCGTGGTGGCCTTGAAGTAGAGGCAGCTGGGCTCTCCTCACCCATATTACCAGCCTGGCTTCCTGGAGACCGAAACCACAAGTAGAGCACAGAGGCGTGAGAGACACTCGCAGGCTGGGCTTGGCCGCATGCGTGCACAGGGTGCTGTCTCCTGCAGAGAAAGAGTTACAGACAGGAGCAGCCAGGGGCCGAGCAGCTGCGAGGGGCCCTCAGCGGCCTGTCCACCTCCTGGCCCTGGGATGGTGCTTCCCACCGGCAGGCACGCATAGCGGTCAGAGATGGCGGCAGACATGGCGCTCTTCTTCGTGGTTGCTGGATTGCTGACGACAGCTCTCTCAGGTAGCCCCCTCCTCACCTCCTGCCGCTCCTGTGGGAGGGCCTGGGACCTGCCCGCCAGGCCCCCTTTCTGGCTGTTTTCTCATGCTCACATTTCTGGAGCCTTCTAGCTAAGACTACAGTCTGGTATGAGGATGGTCCCCAGCTGTGTCAACAGCATTCGGGGCCCAGGGAGGGTATAGGCACCTCTGTGATGGACTGGGGCTATGCCTGGACAATGCTAAGAGGATCCCTGAGGGTTAGATAATGTGGGCAGCATGCAAGTTTGTTATCGATGTCTGAGTGTCTGAGGAAGGAGACACCTCCCATCCATAGGCTAAAGATTTCTTGCCAACTTTCAGGAAGGAATGGTTTTCCTTCCAGAGAAGCAGGCTCACTGATGATTGTGTTTTCAACCCCAAAGCTGAGGCTCTGGGTTCACCGGGTTTGTACTGCGCATGGTAGAGTTGTCCTGTAACAAAATTCGGGGAAGCCAAGCAGAGTAGGGGACAGTTGGTCACTGGTGATTCCACTGGGGGTAGTTTAGGGCAGTGGTCCTCAACCTGTTGGGTGCCAGGGACCAGTTTTGTGGAAGACATTTTTTTTCCACCAACCAAGGTGGGGGTGGGATGGTTTCAGAATGATTCAAACACATTCTATTTACTGGGCACTTTATTTCTATTATTATTACATCAACTCCACCTCGGATCATCAGGCATTTAGATCCCGGAGGTTGAGGACTCCTGGTTTAGGGCACAAATGAACAGAAAACCTCTCGAGAGCCAGCTCCTTTCTGATCCTGAGGCCCTCATGAGGACCAAGGCACTGCCTGGAGTGACCTGGGCCAGGCATGAGATGGCGGAAAGGTTTGGGCATTGGGCTGTGCTCATCGGATGCTTGTTGGCCCCCTGAGGAGGGTGGGGTTCAAGGTGGCAGAGGTCCTGCTGCTCTGGGCCCTCATGTCTGGAGGGTAAGGAGATGGGGATGGAAACAGAATTCTGGGCCCAGAAGTCTGGGTCTACTTGGCAGTAGAGATGCTAAGTGCTTTCAGTTTGATGTGAGGAAGACACTGGAAGGTGCCGTCGGGAAGCCTGGAGCATCTGGGGAGCTATGGAGGGCTCTTCTCTCTGCCTCCATCTGTCTAGAGGCATGTGCTTCCAGCTTCCTGACTTCAGACTGCTTCAGGAAAATCCGATTAGCTGTAGGAGTGGGTATGGGTATGACTTTGGCACCATATGAGTGGCCGGAAGAGAGGCCTTGCCTGTTCTCACTCTACCAGGAGCTTCCGGAGGTCGGCCACTTTCTGCCCCGGAGCTGGACAGACAGATGGTCCGAGAGTGGGCCCTTCACTCTGCATCTCTATCCTCTGTTTCTCATGAGCGGCCGGCTTCAGCTCTGGGTCTGAAAGACCTGCAGGCCCCGGGATCAGGCCTTGCATGGTGTCTGAAGGGAGGTAGGTAGCCGGGCTGGGCAGAGCCGAGGAAGGTGGAGTGGAGGGGCGCCCGGGGCCTGTTCCCTAAGCTTCTCCTTGGTTCTGCCTGGCCCACGCCACTCTCAGGATAGTCACCTCATGTTTCCAAAACTGCATTTATACTCAGTTGACTCACTTGTTACTAATACAAGTTCAGTTTTGAAAGGAAACTTTATGTCACAATTTACACATGGAAAACTGACATCATTTGCCACAAATAAAAGGTAAAGATAAGCATAAAAATATATGGCGGTGAAAACCAGTTCTTATCACTTGTTAGCAAACAGTTAAAAGAATGTAACGGCCCTTGAGCCCAAAGCCAGCCCTCTTTGTTAAAGGGGAGATGAGGAGGTGATAAAGACATCCTGCCTCCAAACTGTGATTTTTGTCTTGTGCTCAGTCTTCGTGACCCCATGGACTGTAGCCCGCCAGGCTTCTCTGTCTGGGGGACTTCCCAGGCAAGAATACTGGAGTGGGTTGCCATTTCCTACTCCAGGAGAAGGCCCTTTCGGCGGGAATATTTTCCTTGCTCTGTGATTAAATGGCATTAAATGCTGCTCCCTTCAACCCTCCTAAGGGTGCCCAGCGGTATAGATCTTAGTTCTTGGAAATATGACCTGGCAATAGGGGCACTCGGGCAGAAGGGAACTTGAGAAAAGCAAAGAAAGAGAAACATCGGAGAAGAGGGAGGAAGGAAGGGGAGCTGGGAGGATGAGGTCCATGAAGAAGTTCCAGGGCTTTGCCCCCATGGCTGCATGTGGCCCGGGCGGCTTACCAGGCATGTGGCACGTGGAGTCTGGCTCTCTTGTGTCGTGGTGGACCTGGTCATGGCCCCTGGGCGTTGGGTTGGCCTCCCCTGTCCTTCTCCCCTTTGCAGTCCCAGCTCCAGGCTCCATCCTGGGCCTTGCACTGCAGTTTCTCTGGCCAGGCTGGCCTGGATTCTGGGTTGGCCTCTCAGCAGGTCTTGGTCTGTCCTGCTGAGTGACCAGGGCAGGGATCAGGGTCTAGAGACACATCTTTCCCAATTCTCCCCTGGTGATCCCTAGAGGCCTGAGCTGGGGACCTGTTGGTCCACCTGCCCTCCAGTTCTGCCTCAGTTTCCAGATCAGCCGGGGGGGGATGGAGAGGTGGAGAGAAGGAGCCAGAAACCCCTGACTGGGGAGTTTTGGAGAGGTGAGTGGGGGAGTCAGGAGGCCATCGGATCCCTGCCACCCTGCATCTCAGTCACCTTGTAGTGGGACTTCTTAACTCTGGACCTCAGTTTCTGTGGAACAGGGAGCTTGGACAGACAGCCCTTAAGGCCTCCATCAGATCTGATGCTACGAGAGATGAGAGATGCAGGAACAAAGAGCCCAGCCATTCCTGCCGGGGCCGAGCTGAAGCCAGTGACTCAAATTCCATCTGGACTGTGTTTGGCGAGGTCCTCAAGGGCTGCTGCTGTGCACTTGAAATAGCTATATGTGGTCACTTTAAAAAATAGTTTCTTAAATTAACAAATTTTAAAAAAATCTATTATTTCCTTGTCTTGTATATACACAGACTTCATTTTCTTTATAAGTCCAGTAGCTTTTAAACAACGGCTCTCAAGGACTCTTTGATTAATATTTCAGCAAGTCAGGTTGAACAGAGTAAGCCTCCTTAAATAATAAATACCACTTACAAATGTAGCTGATTTAATTCCCTTAGATCTGTGACGTCTAATTTAGCTGCCACTACAATGTGCCATTTGGAATGTGGTCGTCCAAAGGGAGATGTGTTAGGAATGTAAGATACACAGCAGAGTTTAGAGATTTGTTCAGAGAAAGAATGTAAAAATAACTCATTAATAACTTTTATATTAATTACACATTGAAATGAAAATATTTTAGATATGTTAGGTAAAAGTACTACTGTTATAATTAAGCTTACCTATTCCTTTTTAAAAATGTGGCTGATAGAAAATTTAAAATGATGTATGGAACTCATATTACATTTATATTGGAGATCACTGCCTTAGATATTCTACACTGCGTTTATGCCTGTGTGCGTGTAAGTCACTTCAATTATGTCTAACTCTTGCAACCCCATGGACTGTAGCCTGGAAGGCTCCTCCATCCTTGGGATTCTCCAGGCAAGAAAACTGGAATGGGTTGCCATGCCTTCTTTCAGACACTACATTCATAAATTCAATGTACTTGATTGTCTTATAAATGCCTCAAATACCTCTAAGAAACACAACCTTACCAAGGATTTAAAAGAATTCTTACAGATCTAAAAAACTAACATAAACAAAATGAATATTAAATTCTCTTAAGTAGTTTGATCATGTTTACAGACATTGCCAAATTCTTTTTTTTGCCAAATTCTCTTAATTTTTTAGGTTAAAATTTCAACTGGAGTCAATTACTCAGTCACAAACATGAGATACTCTAGTGACCAAAAATTCTTAAACACTAAAATACAGGATTTTATACACCAACATGCAGAACTTGACCCAACTTAAACTTGACAAAAATGTACAAATACTATGGGTTTTTGTGTTTTTCATCACCTGTGTATTTTAAATTCTGATCTTCTCGGGCTTAAAAGCCACTTACCAAGGAGAAAAGAGTCATACCACTGAAGGTAACTTGACTTATCCCAAGCAGGCTGGAGTTTCCATATCAGTGGACTGAGATGAGGACAGCTTTTTTTGTTGTTTTGCCAAAATAGAAGATAGCATTCTCTTGTGCTGCTGAGGGGTAGCTCATGCCCTCTGATTGGACTGGTCTCTCCACCCACAATCCAAGTTTCACAAACCTAATCCTCTCTATCTCCCCCAACCCAGGGGCTTTTACCACTTGATTGGATTAAATTAAACAATATTATTATTTTTTAATCTCCCACATTCTTCCTGTCTGGCAAGACTCACTGATCTATGAATAATATATGACAGCCACCTCCATATTTCTCCTAGCTTAGTCTGGTTCTCTGGTCATGCACTTGGTGGGGACAGTTAACGTGGCTGTCACCAGGGTGGTAACGCAAGACAAGGCAGCTCCCAGGGGCTGGCATAGTCAGCCAAACATAACCGATTCCAGAGGGATCCAGAATGAGCGAGAAACACTACCCACAGCATCCCTCATTCAGTTCACATATATTGAAGCCTACTCTGAGTCAGCCTCATTTCTTACAGAACCGCTCGAGAATTAAATTGGGACCCCAGCTGTCGGATTCTGAGGCTGAAGCCGTCCCCCTGGGACAAGGAAGCAGGTGGTCCATTTTAGGCTTTGGGACAGAGGCATGGAGGAAAAGAACCACCCCCACCTCCCCGCCACCACACACACATCCTGGCATGCAGCCTTCACTATCCCTCTGCATGGACCACAACTAAATCCCATGCTGGATTCCCAGCCCTGCACTGAGCAGACTCTGGAGGGGCTGAAATGCCCGGGTCCCTCGCTTTCCCCAGTCTTAGGGTCCTCCAACCCCTCCATCCTACTCTCATCACTGGCACCCCCACATCTGGTCAGGGCGAGGTGCGTCAGAAGAGCAGCATTTTCTGGGGGTCCACATTCCTGACCCATCTAGGTGT